TTAATTAACTAGTTATGAATTAAATCTTTATTATAACTTCTTATTTCCATATTCTTCATCAAAATGCAAATTAACTTTTGTGCGTATTTAAGCTGATATGAATTTTGATTCTTTAGATTAGAGCAATTGCGTTATTGCTGAAGGAATTTTCGCCAGTTGTATTCCGACTTTAGCATTCTAACCTATGTTCTTTAGCATTCTAGCTGATGTTTTAAATAGTCGACAGTAAAATAACAGCTTACCGTTTGGCCATTTTCTTTACGTAGTCTTATACTACTTTATTTGTCAACTTTCCTTTGCTTTTATTAATTTTCCTCTACATCTACTTTCATGTGTAACTTTAAACTACTTTATTTATCGACTTTGCAATTTAATCGTCTGGTATATTAATTTAACAGAAAATTTGTGACAGAATTTCGTCTGTAGCAGCAGTTGGGCCGTTCTCTTACATTAGGACACAATAAAAATGTTTACTTTAACCTTCTTCTGTATTTTTTGAGTTGTTTAAGACGTAGCGATAACTGTATGTTTGGTAGGGTCTGAAGGATGTTATCTCTAGTTTCTAGTTTCAACAGAATCATGTATGGTAAATGGCTCACGATTAGCATAGCGGTAAATCGCTGAACACTGATATTTCCGATCTGGTTTCGATTCAAGACAAGCGGGCTAGCTGCGTGAGCATTTTCGTAGTTTTTGCCATGTATAATGTGTATACGAGTAAGTTTCTCTCAAAAATTCCTCCATGAAGCATATTAGGCATATAGCCCTAGTATGCTTTGAAATAATCATATAAGCAAATACTACATGGTAATGTGTGATCATTCATGGTGCACGTAATTATGAAGGGAGTAATCAGTTTCAGGTATAAATAATATTGATCGAGGATACACTATGTAAAATTGCTTATGCAAAATCAGTATATTTTTCATTTCCGTTTTATAAATAATAGGATATTTAAACTGATTCAGAATTTTTGTTTGCTAATTAGTTTTTAAGACAGAATGCATTTTATCATAATTAATTTATAACTAAATTTTTCTGTTACATGTTTTTATTAGCTACTAAAATACTGTAACACCCAATTAATATAAAATTAATAAATTTAACAAATAATTATATTTTTGTTAAACATGCCTTTTTCTCTAATGTAAAATTTTAACTGAAGTTAATGCAACTGATTTCTTGGTATCTTCTGCACATTTTTAAGGTTTTAGCCCTCTTTATCTAGAAATAAATAGTCTGCAATCGATTGTAACTCTTTTCTCAAATCTTTGCAGTTATCACACATAAGCATTTGCTATTGTATTCCTTTTCTTGAGATGGAAAGGCTTGGTTCGAAGAAAGGTGTGTTCATTCAGTTGGAAACTTTTTTTTTCGCTTGTTCACTTGTTTGTGACTTTCCTTATTAGCTTCCCTTGTGACTTTCTTTCACACTTTTATCAAGGAATTATTAATGAATACTTTCACAATCTTTTCTTAAGTCGGAATCTTCTTCCTTACATAGCTATTACAGATCTTATTTTGTTGTAAACTTCTATCGACAGTATACATACATTGCCGTAGACAATTGCAGTAGACGTATCACTTATTAATTAAGCCAAATGGTTCAAAATTAATAGCGAAATTCAAACTTTATTACTACAGCTTGTGGTTCATTGTTACTTTTAGAAACTAATTTCAGCAAGCCAAAATCACAAATAAAAGTTTTATTAAAAGAAGCAGAGATTTTAGTTTTGAAATGTTTGAAATTATGCACCATTTGTTTATCAGCTTGTAGAGACACTATGTGATTTAGAAGCATGAGAGATGAAAAATGATAAACGCTCTCCCCTGGACTCGAACCACGGACCTCTGGAAAACGCGCCTAGCGTACAGACTACCACATTATGAAGGCATGCTAAGAAGGTGGGAGAAATACCTTATTTACTCCCCCTTTTAAAGAGCAACTGGGATTTTTAAGGGACCCAATCGCCAACTCCTGGATGTGGAGAATCATCATCCACCACCCTTTTAGTTCGGGAGCCACTGTAGAGACGTTAGGTTATTTCGAAGCATGAGAGATGAAAAATGAGCAACATCCTCGCCGGAAATTGAACCACGGAACTCTGGAATACGCGCCCAGCGTGCAGACCACCACACTACAAAGGCATGCCAAAAAGGAAGGAGAAATACCTTATAAGCTTATATTGTAAATTCATAGTTTGAATAAATTATCTGATTATTATGAGCATTTAAAATTTACCCTTTCATGCTGTCACTCAAAATCTGAAGTTAGAACGACAGCTGAATGAAAGACTTCACAACAATAATTCATTCCAGTATAAATCAATATATTCAGATAAAGAGCCTACCTATATGCGACCTCACAATAATATTAGGATGGATAATCAAGCAAAAATTTAAAGTAAGTAATAATAAACAATTCGGCTGATGTGGTTCATAAAAAATTGCATTAATAATTTTGGTTACAACATAGATGTTATTATTACCGCATAGTAATATTCTCGTCTATGATTTTTCAAAGTGTCCAAGCAATTGAATTTTTTCTTCGATTTTACGCCAAAGACGAAGTTTGCACAAATAGCTTATACAAATATGCCAGAAAGTATTGCTCCGCGTATATGTGTTGAATATATTCTCAAAAATATATTGCTTATTGAGTAAAGAAAATTGATTTTTTTCCTTCAAGCAAAAAAAAAAAAAAAAAAAAAAAAAAAAAAAAAAAAAGAAGAAAGAAAGAAAGAAAAAAAAAGGAATATGCGAGTATACTCAAGTATATGTGAATTTAAACGAGTATTCCTGAATTTGAGAAGCATGTATTTTCAAATATCAGTTCAAGCGAAAACTGGTAAAAATAATACAATAACAAAATTTCACACATCCTATAATATATATTTCATGACTACTCTGAAACTGCTATGAAACATGTTAACGATAGTACATTTCAATTTCCTCTGTTGAAGGACGATGAGTCTGAAGCTCATGATGAAAAGATATTTTGCAAGGATACTTGTTCATAGTATTAATGATATGCATTTGTTAAAGTAAACTAAACATATTCTAGATTATCCTTTTCTCTGTTTCGTATAGAGTAATGGCGGAAGGACCGAGAATAAATGCATATTTTATTTAAATCATTTATTCTTCAATATTTTTAAATTTCAACATCGAAAGATGCGTGATGCGTCGATTTTTCACAGTTTAAAAAAGCGGCATTTTGTCTTCTTTTGGAGAAAGTATGATCAACATTTTTCTATTAAATGGTCTCCTGTTGTATTTTAAAGCATAGCTTTGCAATTTGGCCTAAGAATAAATTTATGAAAGTCATTTGACAAAACGCTATACACTGGAAATGAGAACAATACACTCTTAATGTATACTACTGGATGACTCATAAAAACGATGCTTTTAAAGACTTCTCCTTTTTTTTTTTTTTTTTTTTTTTTTTTTTCAAAATTGGAAGAAACTTTAATTTCATGGAATTAAGATATAAGAGATTTTTTAAATAATTTGTGGATTTTTTCCATTTATGCATTTTAAATCATTTATATTTATTTTCATATTTTAAAACATCATTTTAGTGGTGTCATCTGAGAAATAACCAACTAACTAAAAAGAGGCAAATCGCATACTACACCACTGCCCTGATTTTTTTAACCCATCTGGTGAACTTCCGATTTCCCAGGCAAAGAGAAGAAGTACTTTTTAAAGATATAATAACATTGGTTTCCTTTTTATTATTTTCTTCTTGAATACCTGACGTCGCATCATGTATTTACCGAGTCTTCAATATGTTGTGTTATTGATTATTTACTAATTTCAAGTCGTATGCTAGTGATTGTCTTTAGTATGGTCACCAGAGTGGATAAAAAGTGTGTACCAAATACGTTATTTGTTGCTGTTCCTGTGGTGCTAATATTTTTAATACTTTAAGTATCCCACTTTATATTTTATAATCAATGCTTTATATCTCTTTGTTAGCTCGTGCAGAGTAACTATTTGCTTTTTGAATCATCGTAATTTAGATTTCGACCATTTCACTTAATCACTTCTAAAGGGTAATATCGCTCTTTTTTTAAATTAATATCACATCATTACTTTGTGATAACTAGTTTTCTGATTAGTTTTATTTTTTAAGCCTTCGTATAGTATAATATTGCAACGTGCATACCAGAAAATACGCCAAAGACACTGCTATTCTATAAAATGTTGAAACTAGTGTTTCGGATAATCAGAAATTACACGGAGAATAAATATAAATTACTCGTTAGATATCAGAATGTTAATCAAGCAGTATTCTTTCATAAAATGTAACAAGTAAATCAAAAGTGCAAATGAAAAGTATATAAATTTTGGAAAACACAGCAATATGAAACGTTCTGTAAAAGCGTTCTTAAACATTAGCCATTTAAGGGCCGAAATTCAGGCATGACATTCTTTGAAAATCATTAACTTTTTCCGGATTGTTTCCCATCCCATCCAGACATTGAAAGGGTGCTTTTGAATATGAGCTTAATCCTAATTATACTTATATTTAAAAACAACCCTCCCAGTTTTGCAGGAATCCACATTTAATGGCATTTTGACTTTTCGCTATGTCTAGGGATGATTTTTGAAGAGAAATCACGAATAAACCCCCAATATTCACTGCCAGATTAATGATGAAGTTATATAGTTAGAATACATAATTGATTATCAATTTTATCATTATAGTTAGAATAATAGAAAAATTAATATATATTTTGTGTAAAATACAAGTATAATTAATATATAATATGATTATGTTACAGTTAGAATGCATGATAAATTACCACTGAGTAAGAAATATTTATTTATTTACAATTATTATAGTTCTGAAATAGAGATTTCAATATGCCTCTTCAAAAAGAGACGTTGCGCTTTGATAGATTAAACGAAACTGAGAATAATCATAAATTATTCAGCGTAGTTACTAAAATATGTTGTTATTGGTCACGACCCAGAAATTAAAATAAACTTACCTTCCAAAGATGAGGCATTATCAGTAATGCGAATTATACTAATTCGAATGAAAAATTTTAATTTTGACAAAGAAATGGGACGGAGATATAAACCTGTAGCTGCAGACAAAAATTTTCAAGTGCGATTTAGGTAAAAGCACTGCCAGAAAATGAATCAAACAACTTCTTTGTTGTAGATTTATTCTGTTTGTTATAATTTTATTATTTCATTTTTCTACTCCATATTTTGTTAGCAGTTTCAATAACAATGATATATCTTTGTTGTAAGAATATAATTGTTGGATAGCGTCTTATTAGAGATATCTAGGTAACAAGAATTATAAGGAATTTTCATTAGTTTGCAAATTCCTGTTCTTTCAACCCTCTAATAATCGATTTTTGACGTGTTACATTCATTTAAATTAGATATCTATTTAATAAAAAGGCATTAATGGTCTGGAACTCTGTTAAAATGTCTAAACGTATTATATGTTCAGTATATCATTAATAATAATCTTCACAGACACTTTGAAATTGAATAAAATATATGAATTCATTTTTAAGCCATAATAAATAATAAATATAGTATACAATAAACTCTCGATTTACAAATGTAATACAGGAGACGGAATATACTATCAGCTAAGGGCACACGTTAGAGAGAACTTCAGCATATTGTAATTAGCAGAAAAGTACTATCAACAATTTAACTACGTTTTAAAGTAGTTGTAAGGATCTTAAGTTTTACTAACGTTTATTTTATTTTAAATCTTTACTATCACTTCTTATTTTCTACTTCCGGCCAGAATTATAAGCGTGAAGGATTTTATGCAAAGTTTGTCTGGCGAACGCCAAGTACTAAGTTGTGGCTTTTTGCCAAGCGAAAGAGAGGAAGCAGTGAGTTCGAAGCAGGCCGCTTACCTTAGAAGTTACGCAGTTGCTATTTGCCTTCCAGGCCAGAGGTTTTAATCCTCTTGATAAATTAAAACGTATTGTAGTGTTCACAGTCTCTGTGCTACATACGCTTCCTGTTATTATAAGGCCAATCTTCCACGTGTATTATTCTAAAGTTAAATTAGAGTTTAGTTTTATTTTTATACTTTTACGTTAGACCCCGAGTGGCGGGTCATTGTATTCCGAAGTACGGAAGTCATTGTATATAGAGAAAAATAAAGGGTTTTGTATACCCTTCGTCTGTATCCTGTCTACTTAGTACAATTAGTGAACATAGCTTTAGTAAGCTCTCTGTTCCTAGTCAGGTCCTTGTATGTTCCCGAAGAAGGTTAGAAGGAACATTGAACCTGATATAGTAAACCTGAAATTCATTTGGTTACATAAATTAGTACTCAAAACAAAAAGAATACGCCTCAACTAATTGAAGATTAAATATTGTTAGAAATGAGGAAATTAACTTTTAAATGACATTATTAAACAATATATGCAAGATACGTAAACTATATCACCGAGTTAAACTCATGTAATAATTCAAAAAGGAAATTTTTTTCCGCTACAATGAATTATGTACAGTCGAAATATGTAATATTATGGATTATGTACAGTTTAATCACGAACTACTGCTAATCATAACAAGTGACAAATACTATATCATTATTTACGATTATCCCAAGAGTTTTTATTTCTTTTTCTATTTTCCTCAAGGAAATTTATTTTACGCTGATGGTTCGTCAGTGTAATTTTCCAATGTTCTGCGATAAGTAATTATATGCTTTGATTACCGGGCCCATTGGGAAAGCAAACTGTTTACCCGCCTGTTTTATCAGGAGTTAAACTGCATTCTGATTTAAATGTTTTAAATTTAAGGGATATCTTATATTCACACTATAATTCCTCATTTAATTTTTACAACACAATAATATTACAATATTGATTACATTTTCAGTGTTATTTATTTGAATATCTTGTGGCAGGTATTTGTTTTTGGAGGGATTTGTTCTCTAATGCTAATTAAAGAATATAGGGACTCTAATTACTCTTACCATTTGAAACTTTAGTTATCTGGATTACTTATTGCTTTCCCTAAACTACGTAAATTTAAACTATTTGTTTGAGTGTTTTCGTTTGCATAAATTTCAATAATTTAAAGCATTATGCGACACAGAACGTATTTATAATAAATTGGAAACATAATTTCAATCTATATTGCAGCACAGACAATTATGATTCATGGTTATTCTAATCCGATGATTGTGCAGAGCAGGGAAGATGTGTATTTTCGGCATGTTCCTTGGACTTATAAGCAAATCTGACTTCAGTGAATGGAGACATTATCAGATATCACTGAAAGATGCATTACCCGTACGATAAAATGTCTGCATTTTTAAAAGGTTGTTTAAAATTATTACGTAGGTGAAGGTATGTTTCTTCCTTATGAGGTCAAAACTGGTTTCAAAACATGTGGATACCAAAAGGATTATCGAACCCCCACCACGTTTTGATTTAGAAAGCAGATATTCCGAATTACAAGTGTGTTTCCTGGTTTCCCACCAATAAATCTGTCCTAATTTAACGAATAGTATTGTAGAGACGTTAGGTATTTTTTTTAAAGCAGGAAAGGTGAAAAATCAGCAATGCTCTCACCGGGATTCGAACCATGGACTGTCGAGTATGCGCCGAGCATGCTGCGTTGTGTACTGGTCAAGCTGGTCAAGCCAATAAGGCAGGAGAAATGCCCCATGTACTCCCCTTTTAAAGGAAGACTGGAGATTAGGGGACTCAATCGCCAAATCCTGGTGGAGAATCATCCTCCGCCACCTTTTGAGTTCGAGCACCACTGTAGAGTCATTAGAATTTTTAATAATGAGACAATTGCAAAATGAGCAATGCCCTCGCCGGACCTCTCGAATACGCGTCGAGCGTAGTAATAGCTTAGAGAGACGTAGCCAAAAGGCAAACGCGCGCCATTCAGGAAATTGAATTCTCTCTCCCGAAGTCAGTGGAACTTCAACTTAAGTACTCTCTGCTGTCATTCGCATTTAATGCGATTCTAAAACCTCATTTTGGTAAGGAATTGTAAGCTGAAATTAGGAGAGATAGGGAAGGAGCTTTAACATAAAAATAACTATTATAAACTTAGGATAAACCTTACAGTATGAAAGTTGACTTAAAAAAAAAAAGAACTTGTTTCCACTCATTCACATTTCGCGTTTTAAATTCCTGGCACCACTGTAAACGGTATTTTGTTATTACTTGAAAAACCAATGTCTTAAGTTAGACGATTTATCATAGTTGTTCCTTTTGTGCATTTCAGTTTGTACTGTGTATTTTGAAACTAGGATTTTTTTAGATGCACATCGATCAGCAATCATTGATCAGCTGCAGTAAAAAAAAAAAAAAATCAGTAACGTCCTTCTCAGTATTTTCATTTTCCTTTCACACTTGTGTCACAAAGAGGAGAATTCGCCATCACTCTTATAAGCTTTTATGACTCCAGACGTAGCACCTTTTAGTATGCCCAATAATTTGGTAGCTGAGTCTAAAGATTCACCAACGAATTGCCGATCACTTTAGAAATCAGTCAAGTCAGTTTGGATTGCTTTCTTTCCGCAATTAATTACCCAATCTGTACTGAAATTGCACTAATCGTCCAGTTTACTACTAACTAATTACTGTACTAATCGTCTTCGTCTCGTTTAGGTATGTAACAACAAAGTCAAACGAAGGTTTAAATAAACATCTTTGTTTAACACTTAGATTTGAGCAGACACACAACTTGTGCTTATTGAAAATATCTACGCAGATTGCAAGATTCAATTAACATAAAACTATGAATTAGTCCACGTAAATTAAGCGTAGAGATTTGTAGTTTAAATATTTAATTCTAACTAATTTTGCAATGACAGTGACAGATGCACATGTGGATGGGTTAGAAGTCCTGGCCACTAGTTATTCGAATGCCCAGAAACGAGAACGTATCACCTTAGAAAGACCGTCAGCCGAAACCTGCCATGCATAAGCCAAAAGTACCTGCAGGAATTCATGTGCATTTAACCCTTTGCGGCACAGTGTGTCCGGTCTGGACACACCTAAAAATTCCCTTCTGTACGCACAGAAAAATTGAATGAAAAAGGATTTATAGTTTACTATACTCAGAACCTTCTCTATTTATAGTAGATGGCAGCTTACACAAACCAGTCCATATATTTTAGCCATGTTTAGTTTTTTAAGACCCTCATTTTTCAAAGAAATCTTCCAGATTTTTTTAGAGTATAAAAGAAATTGTTTGAAAAGAAAATTCTATGTTATTTTTTGGCTGTATGCTAATCTCCTTATTCTATACTTGTTTTAAATTTTTACCTTGGAATCTTGCCTAAAATCAAACGGCGAACCCTAGGTATGCCCAGACAGGACTCACCGATAATCTAGGACAAGTGTGAGCCTGTATTCTTTGTTTCTCCGCATCTCATCGGTCAGTTCATTGGCAACAATGCTCGTTTCAGCACTCTTTTCGAAGCTCTATTCAATCAGTGTGCCACTTTGGGCACACCCACAGAATTAAAACGATAAATGCTATCTTCACCAAATTTTACTTGGTTACTCCTCTAGGCCTAATTAGACTTCCTACCCTTTTTTTTATATCAAAACTCCGACTGTAAAAGCTAGCGTGCCGAAAAGGGTTAAACATATTCAGAGCTGCACTAATGTACTCTCTCAAATTCAAACATTTTGCAAGAATAATTTGAATTTACTGAATAGTACATAACACTGCTTTGATATGCGTCGCCACTATTTTGATTTACAAACGCACCAATATGTTTCAGTGAAAGCAGTGTGAATTTTCAGTTTTTTTTTGGGGGGGGGGGCCCTACCACTGTGCAATTTTTAACATGCATATTATTCAAGCTAGTGGTATTTTGGTACATTAAACATTTTTACAAGTTTTGATGGATGTACCTCCAATGTAAATTCTGTATAACTGTTCCGTCACGGTTGGAATATTTTGTCCAATTGTACTGGTGTAACGACTGCAGTGCCCCTCAATGTCCGTGGCGAGAACCCAATATCAACCAGTAAGCGATAGG